ACTCCTCGGCTCCATCTCTGCAGCCGGCTTCCCCGCTCCAATACCTGGGAGCTCTGCCGCACTCAGGCACCCCCGGTCTTTCTGTGACCCCGAGGGTCCCAAGGCCACACTGTCCCAGCAGGGGTTCCACCCCCCATTTAGCCACTGGATGGACGTCTCAGTGGAGCCAACTTTTAAAACATCCGATTTTGTGCTCCACTGCTCTATCACTTGCTAGAAGAGGCTGATGGAGGCTCCCTCCCCCTGCGGTCTATCTTCCCGAATATCACCTCGGATTCACTTCTCCGAACGTCCTACCTTCCAGAAAGTGGTCACTTTTCTGTTCAGAGAGTTGCTGCTATTCTTTTCTTCGATCTCCTGTTGAGTTTGTAGGTGTTCTGAATGGTCTGATAACTATCTAGCTGAATTCCTGGGACCAGACGAAATTTAGGTCTCCTACCACTCTGCCATCTTGCTCCTCCGAGCTGTGTACATATATTTAAATCATGTCAATGGTATAGTGTGTGCAGGCACATGTGTGTGCTTGTGCACAAACATGTGTCCTCTTAGTTACTCAGCACCATATTTTAAAAATCCATCCATGTTGCCAGTAGTACATCTTAAATGCATACTACTCCATGAAATGCACCTTTACATAGTCACATTCTCAGCGATGAACACCCAGGTATTTACGATGACCTGCCTCCTAGAACAACCCTACACTGTATATTCATCAATACTTCTATTACAGAAAATTTTCTAGGAGTGAAAGGGTAGATTCAATAGTTTACATATGTTTAATTTACTTAAGTAGTGCAACAGGGCTCTTCTAGAAAAGCTGATACAGTATATATACTGCCACCAAGCAGAGCATGAGCAATCCTAAACTCCACATCCTCTTTCACACAACCATCCACCTTTACAATTTTGGGCAGTCTAATAGGTCTAAAGTGTTGTGTCTCATTACTTTTCAATTTGAATTTCTCTGAGTATCAAGAATTTTGACCATTTCTTTATGTGATTAGCTTTTTCATTTTTCTCATATTTTAATGGACTTGAATTCTCATTACTTGCCATATAGTTTTGTTTCAGAAGTCCTTCCATACATGTAGGACACATGATATTCTCCTACATTTCTTTCTATGAACTTTAGGGTGTTATCTTGTGCATTTAGATCTCTTATCTATCTAGAATCCCTCTAATATGTGATGATAGGTAGTGATCTAATTTTATTTATCTCTATTTAGCAAGATGGTTTTCCCAACAGTATCTACTAAACAAGTCCTCCCTTGCCATTGATTTTTGTCATTATCTTTGTCATACATTAATCTCTCACATATACATCTTAATAACTAATACTGCAAGCCCACCCTTTCTTTTTCTACTTTTTTTCATTTTTTAATTAGGTTTTTTATTTTCATTTCAGTATAGTTAACAGACAGTGTTATATAGGATAGTTTAAGGTATACAACATAGTGATTCAACAATTCCATACATTGCTCAGTGCTCATCATGATAAGTGTACTCTTAATCCCCTTCACCTGTTTCACCCATCCCTCCACCCACCTCCCAGCTGGTAACCATCAGTTTGTTCTCTATAGTTAAGTGTCTGTTTCTTGGGGCGCTGGGGTGGCTTAGTTGGTTAAGCATCTGCCTTCAGCTCAGGTCATAATCTCAGGGTCCTGGCATCGAGCCCTGTATGGCGCTCCCTGCTCAGCGGGGAGCCTGCTTCTCCCTCTCCCTCTGCCTCCCCTCCCCCGCTTGTGCTCTCACTCACTCTCTCTCAAATAAATAAATCTTAAAAAAAAAAAAGTCTGTTTCTTGGTTTGTCTTTCTTTCTCTCTCTCTGTTTTTTCCTTTGTTCATTTGTTTTGTGAATTAAATCTTGCCATTTGCAACAACATGGATGGAGCTAGAGAGCATAATGCTAAGTGAAATAACTCAGAGAAAGACAAATACTATATGATTTCACTCATATGTTGAATTTAAGGAACAAAACAAATGACTTTATTCCACTTTTTAAAGATTTAGTATTCATGAGCCTTTACTCCTTATACGAAGTTTGGAGTTAATTTATCAAGTTTCTCAAAAAATTGAACTAAAAATTTTTCATCAAATATATTAATTTTGGAAGAATTGACATCTGTGTAATATTGAGTCATCCCATCCAAGAGCGTGGAATGTCTCTCTTTTCATTCAGATCATATTAATCATTTTCTGTGTCTGTTATTGGAGTTTTCAAGTTTTCTTCATAAAGAATTTATATACACTTGGTTAAATTAATCTCTGGAAACTTTATAGCTTTTTTATTATAAATGTTGGTTTATTCTCATTACATTTTGTAGTTGGCTATTAGTGGAGTAGAAAAATGATAATGGTTTTTGTAGGCTGATTTTGGATCTGAACACACAGATAAACTATTTTCTTAGCTCTGATAGTCTTTTTGGCAGATAATGGTCATATCCTTCATATCATTTAATCATGTTCATTCCAAACTTCACTACTTAATATTCTTTTCTTTTAGCATTGGCCAGTTCAATGATAAATAATAACAGTAATAGTGGACATCTTTGGATTCTCCCAATCTTAAAAGGAATAAGCCTCAAGTTTCCCCATATTATATAATATTTGGTGTAAGTTTAGGTTATAGTTTTCACTGTTAAATAAGTTTCCTTTAGGCTGCAAAGACATGTTTTGGTAAGGGTCTGGAGAACATTCCAGAAATACAGGAATTTATTAGGTCAACTTCATTGGTAAAGGGTGCACTTATCCCTGAGTTAAAATAATGTGTTAGCTCAAGCACCTGGGAATGACTTAGTAGTCTGTCATTTACTAACTGGAGCCTCGCTTGCAAGTCAATGGCATCTGACGTATTAGAACTTCCTTTGCATATGTTAGAAGAAGGAGTCTGAAGATTCAGGAAAGTGGGGACATACAATGGAGCTATTATATACAACAATCCATCCTAATGACATCCTCTAGGAGGTTCCAGAAGGCACCACCTTCACCAGGGTATTAAGTCATGCATTGGTGAAAAAGCAGTGGCATACTGAAGAGTTTTGAGGTGGCTATTATTCATAAGCCAGAGATAGCAGTGGGTGATGCAGCAACAGGCTCATGTACCCTGATCTCAGTGGGAATTATGAGATCCCAAAGTGGCAGAGGGCTGTTGTTGGCCCTTAATTATCAGACACACTGTGGGTGAAATTAGAATCCCTTCCCACACATGTTCCCCAAACTCCTGCCAATACAGATTGTTGCAGTCTTACAAGTTTTCAGTGAATAGACTAAAATCAGAGAGATGAAATTGATAAGAAGGATGTTGTCTTATGTTTCACACTAGGCTACTGTGCTGCCATTATTTTTCCAGAATCCAAACTTGCAAGCCTTGCACGTGTACTTCTTCAGTTTAACAATAAAAATATGTGTGTATACACCACTTATTGGGCATTAACTGTGTGCTAGGTTAGTGCTTTACCTGCATGTATTCATTCTGTCCTTTCTTTTCTTGGAAAATTATGCATTAGGGAAGCTATTCTACCCCGAAAGAATCTATACTCTTTCTCCCCTGCATCCACCCCAGGGTATCTAAGAGTGTACAAAGTCTAAGGCCGTTTTCCATTAAACTGTTAGATTCCAGGAAGGGTTTTTGGATATGCCCATCCTAAGACCAGTCACAGAGTTTGGACAGAAGCCCCAAGTGGAAGGTGTTGATAAGCAAACGAGATTCAGGACAGCTCTGCCAGTGGCCTGCCCACTCCCTTCTCCCTCCAAACTTCTTGTACCATTCTGTCTCTGCAAGCACCTCTCATGTAGAAATTCCAGAGTCTACACTGGTTCATTCCAAAATCATTTCAAAATGTGCCGCAAGTCTCCCCAATCCGTAAAGACCACCTATATCATTATTACTTCCCACAATGACATGCCCCTCTCTTGTTAGCAGATTTTGTCATCTCTATCTCTTGTATTTTCAATTCCTTAAAGGCAAAGCTTTCAATGGATTTATGGTTTCTATTTCTAAAAAGTTTGAATCAGTGGTATCACTCCCAGACCCTTTGATTTCAGAAGACCTGTGAGGCTGTGTCTTCATTAGCTCTTACCTGTGCCTGATACTTGTTTTTTCCAGATTTCTGAAATGCTCTAACCACTATCTTCTTCGGGTTTTTGCTCAAATATCACATTTGCAGTGAGGCCTCCCCTACCAGCATCATTTAAAAATGCAACCACACACTCACACCCTCCCTCTTCTTCTTCTTTTATTGTACATCATAGCACTTTTCTTTGGTCACATACTATATATTTCACTTGTAGATCTTGTTTATTTTCATCAGTCCACTGGCCTCTAGAATGTAAGTTCAACTGAGGTCAGGGGGTTTTATATATTTTCTTTCTGCTGTATTCCCAGTACCAAGAAGAGTATGAACACATGTAGGTGCATATAAATACCTGTTAATTAACTAATTAATATGCAAAGCACAACAAATCCTTACTCCTACCTATGTTTTTAATAGTCCTCCCATGCAAGCCATTTAAACTTTTTAGGCAGAGCCAGAGTATACAAGAGAATCTTTAAATAAAGGGATGGTTCTATGGTTCATTCATTCATTCATTCATTAGTTCATTCATTCATACTATGAGCTAGACACAGTGCTATAGGCTGGTAACAGCTGATTGCTCAGGGTTAGGGGGAGGGAGGGATGTAGAAGATTGTTGGGCTTCTTCAAACGGGTGTCTCTGCAGAGTTACCAGCCAGAGGGTAGAGTCAAGCATGGCCTCTTCCACCTGGATGTTCCCACGTCCAAGGACAGAGTACGATGCTGACACAACCAGTTAAGGGTGGCGTCGCTGTTAGCCCACTCACTGCCCCACCCTCATCATGGGAGCTTGTAGGCTCAACGGAACTGCGGGGGTCTCACCACGCCCCGGGGGTCTGCACCGGCCTCCTCGCGCAGCCTCCCCCCGCAGCCGCGCTCTTGGCCACAACTGCAACGTTGGAACCACACGCACGAGGCAGGAGATGAGGGCCACAACCGAGGAAACAGCGCCCCACCTGGCTCCCCAGGCTGAGAGGCCCCGAACTGAGGGCGCACCCTGCAGAATCACGCTCCTCTGGCCCTGTGCTCAGGGTATGACATCAGTGTAGGGAGCCTTGGCCGGGTTGCCTCTAGGACCCAGACCCGGTCACACTGAATCAGAGGTTGCCAGGCCCTGGTTCCCTGGACTGCCTCGTCCCGGGTTCTCCCATCGCTAGGAATGTTTTACTGGTAACAATACTTGAGTTGAGAAGATCCATGTTCATCCTACGCGATTCAGCCCCATTCAGACGTCTAGGTGGCTTACCAAGCACTGCCGGGGAGAATCTTTTATCACTTGAAGTAAGTAATGGCCTGAGGGAAAGGTGACCTTGTGAGTTGCAGCACCATTATAAACCCAGGCCTGCAGTTCTCAGCATCCACCCAATTTGGGCTCCTAGTTTGTTTTCTCTTTTTATCCTAATGCTTCAAATCTCCATGTGAGATATTCTTGAGTCTGGATTTCAGCTATTTTGTATGATCAGTGTTTATCACCTTGAGGTGTGTCTCCAGGGTCCCCAAAGGGAATTTTGTATATTCACATAGCTTAGATTGAAGTCATTCTGTTCCAGACTTTCCATCCAAATTTGATGAAAGGCTATCTGGAGTTTGAGCTTGCTTTTTAGGACTGCAGTAATAATAATACAATCATGGCTATATTTAGCGTATACCTACTACATACCAAACACTTTTCTAATTTCTTTCTCTTTAAGAAATTGACTTCATGAATGGATAAGCCCATGTATCATATACTGAGAACTATCACCTAAAATACCATGAAGTGAAAGCCAATTCAGTTATGTTTGAAGAACATGTAGAAATTTGTTTGTATTATATACTTATTCAACAATCATTGAGCTCCTAAAATGTGCCATATCCTGTGCTTAAAGTCTATAGTTAAAAGGTCAGTATGAAACAAACATACCAAAAAAATATGGCCTATTGGTGAAACTGAAACTAATCAGAAATGGCTGGAGTGTTCTTTGAGAAATCCATTTTGTTGCAAATAGCAAGATTTTTTCTTTTTATGACTAAATAATATTCCATTGTATATGTATATACCACATCTTCTTTACCCATTTATCTGTTGAAGGACATTTAGGTTGTTTTCCTATATTAGCTTTTGTGAGTAATGCTGAAATGAACGTGGGAGTGCAGGTATCTCTTCAAGATAGTGATTTCATATCCTTTGGATATATACCCAGAAGTGGAATTGCGGGTCATGTGGTAGTCCTATTTTTATAATTTTTTGAGGAACTCACATACTGTTTTCCATAGAGGCTGAACCAATTTACATTCCCACCAACAATGCAAAACAGTTGCCTTTTTCCATATCCTCACCAACATTTGTTATCTCTTGTCTTTTTGATAAGAGACATCCTAACAGGTGTGGTGTGTAGTTTCGATTTGCATTTCCCTGATGATTAGTGATGTTGAATATCTTTTCATATATCTGTTTGCCATTTGTATGTCTTCTTCGGAAAAATATCAATTCAGGTCTTTGCCCATTTTTTAAATTGAGTATTTGCTTTTTGCTATTGAATTGCAAGGTTTCCATATATATTTTGGATATTAACCCCCTACTGGATATATGGTTTCCAAATATTTTCTCCCTTTCTGTAGATTGTCTTTTAATTTCATTGATTGTTTCCTTTACTGTACAGAAATTTTTGAATTTGATGTAGTCCCACTTGTTGATTTTTGCTTTTGTTGTTTGTGTTTTGGTGTCAGACCCAAAAAACTCATTGCCAAGACAAACATCAAGGAATATTTCCCCTATGCTTTCATCTAGAAGTTTTGCGATTTGGGGTCTTATGTTTAAACCTTTCATCCATTTTGATTTGATTTTTTTAATATGGTGTAAGATAAGGTGTAAGATTCTTTTACACGTGAATATTTAATTTTCCCAAAACCATTTATTGAAGAGATTATTCTTCTCCTATTGTGTATTCCTGGCACCTTTGTCGAAATTAGTTGACCATATATACATGGATTTATTTCTAGGCTCTTTATTCTGTTCTTTTAATCTATGTGTCTGTTTTTATGCCAATGCCATAATGTTTTAATTGTTATAGTGTTGTAATATAATTTGATATCATGGAGTATGATGCTGCCAGCTTTGCTCTTCTTGTTTAATATTGCTTTAGCTATTCAGAGACTTCTGTGGATCCATACAAATTTTAGGATTGTTTTTTTCTGTTTCTGTGAAAAAAGTGTCATTGGAATTTTAATAGGAATTGCACTGAATCTATAGATTGCTTTGGGCATTATGGAAATTTTAACAATATTAATTCTTATGATTCATGAATATAAGACATCTTTCCATTTATTCATGTCTTCTTAAATTTTTTTCATCAACATCTTGTAATTTGCAGTGAGTGCAGTGCACTCACCTTCTTGGTTAAATTTATTCCTAAGTATTTTTTTATGCTATTGTAAGTGGGATTGTTTTCTTATTTTTTTTCAGGTAGTCATTGTTAGTGTATACAAACACAACTGATATTTATATGTTAATTTTTAATCCTGTGACTTTCCTGAATTCATTTTCAGCTTAACGGTTTTTTGATGGAGTCTTTAGATCTTCCTATGTATAAGATCATATCATCTGCAAACAGGGACGATTCTACTTCTTCCTTCTAATTTGGATATCTTTTCTTTCTTTTTCTTGCCTAAGTGCTCTGACTAGGGCTTCTAGTACTATGTTAAATAGAATTGATGAGGTTGGGCACCCACGTCTTATTCCTGATCTAAAAGAAAAGTTTTCAGCTTTTCACTATTAAATACGTTTGCTATGTGCTTGTCATATATGGTCTTTATTATGTGGTGATACATTCCATCCATACCTAGTTTGTTGAGAGTTATTATCATGAAAGAATGTTGACCTTTGTCTAATGCTTTTTTGCATTAATTGAGATTTTTTAATCCTTCATTTTGTTAACGTGATGTGTCACATTTATTGATTTTATATGTTGTATCATCCTTGCATCCCAGGGATAAATCCCACTTGATCATGGGGTGTATTTCTTTAATGTGCTATTGAATTTGGTTTGCTAATATTTTGTTGAGGGCTTTTACATGTATGTTCTTCTGGGATATTGGCCTATAATTTTCTTTTCTTATAGTGTCCTTATCTGGCTCTGGAAATAGGGAAATGCTGGCTCATAGGAAAAGTCTGGAAGTGTTCCTTCCTCTTCCCCCCCCCTTTTTTTTTTTGAAAAATTTAGGAAGGATTTGTATTCTTCTTTAAATGTTTGGTAAGATAAACCAGTGAAGCTATTTGGTCCTGGACTCTTTTTTGTTGGGAGGTTTTTGATTACTGATTCAATCTCCTTACTCATTAATAGTCTGTTTATATTTCCTTTTTCTTCTTGATTCCGTCTTGGTAGATTGTCTCAAGGAATTTGCCCATTTCCGAGTACCTATTTCATAGGGCTAATGAGTAGTCTTTATGAGTTAATTCATGTATAGAACATAGAAAAGTACCTGGCTAAGTAAGCACTCTGTCATTTTTAGCTTCCCTTTTTCCTTATATTTTCTAGGGTAACAACAGCAGTTTAAACAGATACTGTTTTTTTTTAATTTTTATTTTAGTAATCTCTATACCCACTGTGGGGCTCAAACTCATAACCCCAAGATCAAGAGTCACATGCTCTACCAACTGAGCCATCTAGGTGCCCCCAGATACTGTTTTTAAACATACTCGGGTTGCAAATAATCTTACTAGACCCCAAAAAAAAAATACATTTTCTCATTCCAAGCAAGGTTGCAGTATATGGGTTGTCAGATCCGTGGATTGTTGGTGGAGTTTTAGGACCTGGTTCAGCAGCCCAAAGTTACTTGTATTTGAGCACTGGTCATCAAACTGAGTCTCTTTGGAAAGTGAATCTCTGTTACATCACAGGACATTTAGTTCCTTGCCTCTCACATTAATAAGAAAGGCTTTCAGTTTTGCCTTGCCATCACCTCCTACCTACTCCTTCATCCCACCATTACAATATACTGACCTAGCTAACTAGAATAATTGGAAATGCATGAATGCCCCCTTAAACCTTCAGTGTAATGGGGTTTACATTGAATAAGTGATCATAGACTGAGTCTGAGCAGTTAATTCTCTTCTGTGGGACATTTGGCTAATTGATCATCTTGAAATGTAGTGTGGACCTATCCTTAAAGTAGTGATTGTTTGTAAATAACATTCAGTGCTAATCACTGCCCATCTTTTCTACCTGGGAAATGAATGAAACTTGTGGTGCTAATCAACTCTTGCCTGCCCCTTATACCAGAAATAGCCACCAGTGGACCATAGAGCTTACTCATAATATTCAAGTCCATCTTTCATATTTATTCATGTAAATATCTGTATCTTTATACACTTATTTGTGCTTTACAAATGGATATCCACTTAGGGGGAGAAATGAAATACACATATGTGGGGCGCCTGGGTGGCTCAGTTGTTTAAGCCTCTGCCTTCGGCTCAAGTCATAAACCCCGGGGTCCTGGGATTGAGCCCCACATCAGGCTCCCCTGCTCCTCGGGGAGCCTGCTTCTCCCTCTCCCTCTGCCTGCTGCTCCCCCTGCTTGTGCTCTCTCTCTCTGTCAAATAAATAAATAAAATCTTAAAAAAAGAAAAGAAATACACATATGTATACTTACACTTTCCTACCTCTCAAATCAATGAAAAATGTGAAATACATCCTAACATGTTCACATTTCATAGGCATTATAATCACCTTTATTAACACTTCAAATTTTCCCTTTTGTGTATCATGATGAATTCATGGCCTTTCATAGGTCATTTTAAACCGTCATGATTTTTATTCTTTTTTGGTTATTCAAATTGTCTCAACTCAGCCAGTGAAGGCCCTATTAACCTGGTTTCTTTGTCCTTTGTGCACTATCTCTAACATTCTCAACAGCATCCTTGCTTTCTTTCAAGAAGAGGACGTCCATACACATTATGCTTTTCTACAGTAACTACCCTCCTGATTCCTTGTGAAAGAAAAGACAGAGAACCAAGTGTGGGCACTAGGGTTACATAGGAGATTAAATAGTGAGCAAAAGCTCTACTTCTTCTGTTGGGCAAATTTTGGGAACCAAGCTAGAAACACTTATTTTGGAGGGGTCTGAGTTCACATATATTCTTATGGTTTGAGACTTTATTGACTATCAAAACTCCCTGCTCTATTGATTACATCTAAATTCATGGAATCCAGCCATATTCCCTGGAAGTGAGCCCCTCTTTTGCTGTCTTTGCCAGCCATCCTTCCCCCTCATACTAAGAGTATTCTCTGCAAAATCATAGCTGCAATCTCACCTGTCAGCTCAGGGCCACCAGAGAGATCTTTCTCCTAAAACTTTATGCCTCCAACTGCAGTGTAGAGGGATGGCTTGGTCCTGGCCTTCTTTTTTTTTTAAGATTTAATTTATTTATTTGACAAAGAGAGAGCACAAGCAGGGTGAGCAGCAGGCAGAGGGAGGAGAAGCAGACTCCCTGCTGAACAGGGAGCCCGACATGGGGCTCAATCCCAGGACTCTGGGATCATGACTTGAGCCAAAGGCAGATGCTTAACCAACTGAGCCACCCAAGCATCCCCTGGTCTTCTCTTTTTAAGCAGTCACTCCCTCCATGTAATTTCTCTCCAATTCTCTTTTCCTTTGTTTAGCCAACACAAGGGCAAGCCACTGCATCTGCTGGAAAACAGACACCAACAGAGAAGTTAAAGTTAGTCTTGAAGGACCCCCTATTCTGAATGTGATTTCTCTATCTTCCCGTAGCTTTACCAACACTTCATTTCCCAAAATTCTGTCTTCTCTCCCCACTCCTCCTCTTAACAAACCTGAGGTGTTGGTTGGTGCCAGGGTAGTAGATATAATAACCACAAAATTTCAGGCTTATGAGAACAAATATTAATAGTGAAATTAATAGTGAAAACTTCCTGGAATTTTGTTTGATGTTGCAGGTCAGCTGTGGGCCTGCTTCCATGTCTTCATTCTGGGATCTACACTAAAGTACAGCAAAATCCTGGGAAATGATATCCTCACAACAGAGGGAAATGATAGAAACTTAAAATACCTCAACAGGTTTGGGCTCAAGCTTGGCGTGTGTCATGTCCCTCACATTGGATCTGTCAAAGCATGGTCCAGGGTCACATCCAATATCTGCAAGGTATAGAGATATATTCCTTCCATGGAGTGGAGGGTGGACACTGAAAGTCACAAGGCAACATGTGAAGGTGTAGAACTCTGTAACAGAGAAAAGGGAAACAATAATTGAGGACAATAATTCAATTGACCATAACTTCCAATACTTCTCTGAACCATCCATCACCTACCAATAAGCCCTTGGAGAAGGCTACTAGGCACAACCTCTGGCAATTTTATCAACTTAAGATGCAAAATACTGCCTTTTGTCCCAGGATTTTTTAGTACCTAGCCATTATTCTGGAACATTATGAAAATTTTCACTTGATGTATATCCTCTTACACTAGTTTTAACTAAAATAAAGAAGAATTTGTCTTAAAGATGCCGACAGATTTGGCTCATAGATAGGTCTAAAAAGGCAACTAGAATCAGGGAAGTGAGAACCATTAGAATCTTAAAGTAATATTCTCCCTCCATCTCTTTACTCGAGGGGTTCCTTCACTCTTCTTTCCAAGCCCAGATTGGGACTATATTGTCTTAGTGCTAAATGTAATTTCCTGGGAAGGGAACTATGATTGGCTCAATTACAATAAGATGCCCACAACTTATCCAAGCAGCTGTGGCTAGATTGAGAGAGATTCTTGTGAAGACCAGACATGGCAAGCAGGATCCCAAACTTGGGTGACCCTAGGGACTTATAGGAGGAGGTAATTCTTTAAAAAGGTGAAAATAATGAGACTGGGGCACTTATAGCAAAAGATAACTAGTCAGTCTCATTTAAAGACCATGATGGCAACATAAAACCTGAGAAGTAGTTCCTGGTTTTTGACAGAAAGTTATCAGTGAGTTGACTCAAATCTTCTTTCAAGGAAAGTAGTGGAAAACCAGAGGCTGCAATATTAAGTGTCTTATCTCAAAAATAATTAGTTCACCTTTTCTCTGTATTTCTCTACAGAAAAGGAGTCCATTCATTCTCTACAATTTCTATACCATACCTTAATTAAAATGCCACGAAGCTATACCCTGAAATTGGAGACCAGAGCACTGGGGGTAAGAACTAAGTGCTGTTTAGGTTAATAAATGATGGGTATTGCATCTTCCTAACATAAAAGGGAAGGCATTGGCCACATCTACAATCAACTCCCCCGAGGAAGTGAAGTTGATTAAAGCATTCTGAGGCCATAGCTAATTGGACACAAATTATAGATCCACAAACTGTTTCTGAATAGTTCAATAGCATCACAACCTACCCAGGATTTTAACAAATACACTCTGAGACTGGTTATGAATCTCATAAGCAATGAGAAGGCCCATTTTCTGCCTTTGTTTGTAAACAGTTTGAAACAAGCTTATAGATCATAAATGAGATGGTCAGGCTCAGGCGATGGAGCCAAAACCAGAAGGGGCTGGAGACACTGGGGCTCTGTGGCCAATGGCCATTTGATAACACTGGGCTCAAAACATGCTCCCCCTATATTTAGCTCTGAGGTCATATTCCATATCAATGTTCTTCCTCTCACCTCTCTTAAACCTTAGAATGCTGTACCCTTTTGTATTAACCACTAATATTTGTGGGGGCTCGAAGCACACTTCAGTATAAGCCAGCAAAATTAAAATTGTCCTTGGAAAATTCCCAATATAACAAATCTATGATTATCTCCAGCTGGCTGGTGGCTATTTGGCCCATTGCTAGAATGCAAGGCACAACTCAATGCGACAAAGCCTCATGTATAGCAGGGGCAGGACACTGGGCTTTCTCTACCTCATCCCCCAGCACCATGGTGTTTTACAGCTGATTGCTTGCTCCTTGTCTCTTTATCTGGCCTGGACAGCAGTCATGGCAATGTGTGTGAGAAAGGGTAGGCCTGTCACAGGCCATCCACTGGCCTACCAGTAAGATCCACCACCTCAGAGAGGATGAAGGGTTTAGGATCTTCTACTGAGTTCCTCCTACTAAACCCTCCTGAGTCCTCCACTGAACTCAGAGTAAGTCAGTGGATTCATGGCCCAGAAAGGAGTTGATTCTGAAGAGTGTGACAATAGTGGGCAAGTTCATTTGATCCCATCCCAAATGGCCATTCCCCATGTGCCAGATCAAGTCATGAGTAACCAATAAATGCATGCTTTTTTGTTGTCTCAATGTAAACTTCAAGGGAGAGGAGTCTCATCACCCAATAGCCACTTCTTGACTTTCTGTGACAATTAATTTTATGGGTCAACTTACTTGGGCCACAAGGTGCCCAGATAATTGGTCATATTATTTGGGGTGTTTCTGTGAATGTGTCTTTATTTTTTAAATTTTATTTATTATGTTATGTTAGTCACCATACAATACTTTTTTTTTTTTTTTTTTTTTTATTGAAGTACCGTTGACACACAATGCTACATTAGTCTCAAGTGTTCAACGTAGTGACTGGACAAGTCTAGACCTTATGCTATTCTCACTGCAAATGGAGCTACCCCCTGTCACCATGCAACACTGTTATAATACCATTGACTGTATTCCCTATGCTGTACCTTTTATTCCTGTGACTTATTCATCCATAACTGGAAGCCTTTATCTCCCATTCCCTTTAGTCCATTTTGCCCATCTCCCCACCCCCTCCTGTGAAGATGTTTTTAGAGGAGATTAACTTTTAAATTAGTGAACTTTGAGTAAGGCAGATTGCCTTCCATAATGTGGATGTGCCTCATCCAATCAGGTGAAGGCCTGGCTAGAACAAAAGACTGACCTTCTCCTGCCCGCTTCGGTAGTTGCAGGCACCCTTGTGACTGGTGTGTGTCCATGACTCTACTCCATCTGGAGAATAAGGCCTGCCTCCACACAAGGCCCCTGAGAATACTCCACATAAGAATTATAGAGTCAGGGGTCATTGGAGAGTCTACCTTCATGCTTTTTTGAGCAAAACCTAGGGCTCTGGTCCAGAGGATAGTTACAAAAGTCAGCACAGAAAATGAGACTGGACAGAGCAGTCTCTCAGACTGCTCAACTCTCAGACAAGAGAGGATGAAGAATGAAGGCAAGGTCCAAAATTACCTTTTTGGGTTAGTGGTAGAAAACAAGAACTCACCTGCCAGCCAGAGTTGATCTCACAGATCCAACGGTACAAAGAGAGGGATGTCAAGACAGAGCCTGAGTGAGCCTCAAGGTCAGTAGCCCTCCTTTGGGTCATGTGTCCTCCTGAACCAGACAAATCGGCCTCTGCTTTTTATTTAACCAGAGCCAACTGGAAAATTAGATATTAAATATCTCTGAAGATATCCATGAAACAAAAGCACATATTCCCTGTTTAAATAAATGTGGAGACCTCACCATCCATTTGTGGCTGCCCTCTTTATCCATCTTGGTTCTTCCCCGACATGTAGTTCTTTCATTGCTACTTCAGAAATACCAGGATAAGCTGGATATTGCCATGATGTTTCAGTCTCCACATTGTAATCATCCATAGTAGATTTTACTTGAGTAATAATGATGGCTCTCTCTTCTCACAGGCTGTGCAAATCATGAACGGCCTGATTTACAGTGCATTGGGGTTTCTCTGTTTTGCATTATTTCTCGAAGAAGAGGAGAGAAAACATACTGGTTATATCCCTGTCGTGGTTACACTAATTTACATATTTTGGTCATTGCCATTTGTGAGTAAACCATGGTGCTATTGATTTTAATTTATTTTTTTTAATTTGTCCAGTAAACTACTCAAGAGATCAAGCAATGGGTAAAGACCCAGTGTCTGATTCTATGGAGCTCATTTTGCTATGGAAACAGCCTTAACAAAATGGTGGGTGGGGGTGGAGAGTATATACTTAGGAAAAGTCTTTTTATGTTTGTTGCATGTTTTGATGAGTTCCTTGAGAAAGTGAGGTGTGCGTGCAGATGAGATTTTGAGAGCTTGAAGAGCAATAAAGAGAGTGGCTATCTGGATAACTACAAGGCTTTTTTTTCTTTTTTCTTTTTCTTTTCTTTTTTTTTTTTTTCCAGAGTGAAAACCCAAAGGCCTGACTGAGCTTAATGTCTGGGGCTATAGTAGTGATTTTTAGAGAGGTTACATAAGGAAAGACAAAAGAAAAGACATAGAAGGGCAAACAGGAATTTGGGGAAATGAAACCAAGATTTCTAAAGTGGGTATTTTGAGTAATGATATTGTAATAATTCCATAGGCATAGTTGCTGAGGTGCCCAATAGGGACATGCCCAATTATAAGGCACTACACTCAGGGAAGCCCAAAGCCATGGCTTCCCACAAGTTATTATTTGCTCACAGTTACATCCAATCCAGAAGCAAATTATCCGTCAGGGGTCATTATATTCATAAGCAACATGATGTAGTAACACAACTGATACTCCAATTGTATCAAGTGTCCAACTGAACAGAGCAAGAAAGTTAACCCAAAGCCAAATTTCCCCTTGGAGGAGAAAGGGTTTTATGAGCTCCTTACCCATCCTTTTGCACTCCTCAACCAAAAACAGGGCTTCAGGGAGAGAAGATTTGAATGTAATAACTTTTTGTGAAAGGGCTCTGACACATAGTAATAAGTGCTCTGGATGGGAGACATTTCCTTAGAGGCTTTCCTACAGCATGAGTCCTCAAGTTGAGGGCTTTTACCAACACTAAGAAACTTCGGGAAAGAATTGTAGGTCATAAAGAGAAATGCTTTAAGCTGAAAGAGTACAATGAATCACCCATTACAAGGCCCCCAAAAAGGATCTTAGGTCCAAGATATAGAAAAGAAGCTCACAGCAGAAAGTAACCACAACTAGTAATTATTCAATTTCATACTAGGGTGTATTGGGCACCTTCCAAAAGTGCTTCAGGTCTGTTTTATACAATTGTCACAGCAACTCCATGATTGCTATTATCGATCCCCATTTTACAGATTAGGAAACCAAGACTTAGAAAACGTACGTAACTTCTACAGAGTGACCCAGAAGTAAAGTGTCAGACTAAGGTGCTTTTGCTTCCAGGACAGGAACTCATTTTCCTGGACTGCAAGATTCCCAGTCCCCTTCAGATGAGTCATCTTTTGTTAGTGCTATGGGCAGATGGAAGGCAGGCATAAGGTATACCACTGGGGAAAATGATTAAGTTCCTGATATATCAGAAACAACAATTCTTTCAACTGCTACCAGCAGAAGATGTTAGCACTCAGGACATGATGTTTGTGGGAGACAACCTGTCACTCTTCGGGTCAAATGAGTTCTGAAACTATTTCCTTTTACAGCATTAGGGGGGAAAGTTCTTGCAAGTGAGAGCTGCCCCACTGGCTAGATTACTTACTAATAATTTATATCACGAGCTTAATAAATGACAGCCCAAAGAAGTGAACTACCTACTGCTCATTCCTCATAAAGTCATTGTGAGATTGCTAAGTCCCATCACCAACACGAAAGCTCCTTAACGACCAAAGAGGTTAAAAATGTTTTCTCATCTCTGTATCAACTATAACAGAGAAATAGTGAATCCATTTTCTAGAGTGTCTACTAGTGGTTGCGTCACAGAACTGAAGTAATTAAAACCTTTTTCTTCTGAGAATTCTGTGATACTTTAGATCTCAAGAATGTCATTGGCATTGCAAAAGTACTTGTTTAGGGGACTATCTACAGGAGTGGGTGTTTACAAGTGACTGTTTCTAACCCCAGTTCATCTCCTCGGGATCCACCAGCATAGGAGCACAGAAGCGTCCCACAAAATACAAGGTATGTTGAAATGGTTTGGAGCAATGCCAAAGATAAAAAGATTGCCTGGCATAAACTGAGGAGAAGAAAATATTACTTCTGAGCCAGCTTTTTTGGGGTGATAAAACTTTTCCAAATATTTGGATAGGAAAGAAGTCAGTTTTTACAAGGATGCACTCAATGCATATTTTAAGTATGGGTGTTGTTGAGGATGCAGTGTGAAGAACAAGGTTTAGAAGGTATCAGGTGTGAGGATTTTGATGGAATAAATCATCTCAACTACCTAAAGGGGTATATATAACCAAATAAAACAGACCTGAGAAGGGAGGAAAGGTAGGTGGAGCAAGTTTAGTATATCAGTGTTTCATTAGGAACGGCATAAGACAAAATAATGTGTGAAAAGAGAATTGCCTTCAGCAAACCCAGGGCTAGAGAATATCATGGGAATACAGATCAGGTATGACTAAAATACATCCAGCAGAGGAGTCACATTTTCCTTTAGAACTTCTCCCGCTGTGGTTAGGATCACAGTTCTAGAGGTCCATTGCCTGAATTCAAATTCTGACCACCCTACTACTAACTGTGTGAACCTCGGGCAAGTTAACTTTTTTGCTCTGTGCTTCTCTCCTCATTTGAAAAACACGTGGCTCCTCCTTCCTCCGACCTCCACCGATTGTGAGGAGGATTAAATGAGCAAATAAACAGCAGCCCCTGGCACACAGTGAGCACTCAATAAATGTTAGCTCCACTAACCAAAACCTACCAAGGAAGACAAGGTGGCTTTCAGGGACTGGTGAAAGAAACTGAAGAAATACGGTTTCATAATTCAGTGAAAGGTCTGCCTACTTTCCCCCCACCTCCCAAAAGGATGGGGTCAAAGAGATACAGGAGGCTATTTTGCTCAGCAGCAGCTTGGTGGTTATAACTTTAGGCATTAAGTTTTTATACCTTTTTTTTAATATCTACCACTGTTAACATTGGTTTTTATCCTATGCTCCTGCTTTTGCTAAGTTTTTCAATGCATTTCCAGGGTATACATGTAACCCAAATGTTACCCAGTATTGCTTTTTCCCCAGGGATATAAGTACATCACTCCTCACAGAAACACAGACTCTTCTACCTCAGGGATATTGTCAAGGAATTTCCCAAGCTAATGTGGCTCAACTTCACAAGGAGAAATCAAATAATTATTTATCAAGTCATGAAAAAAATGCTTTAGAAAAAATGTTCTAGTGGCAACACAATATTCTGTTATACTTAGGTACCATAATGTACCTAACACACCTAATATAGGGTGCTCAAATTCCAACAATTCAATCAAAAATATTTTCTGAGTTCCAGGCACGTTCTGGGTGTGTAGAATGTATGAGTGAACACACAGACAAAGATTGATTACCCTCATGAAGCTTATATCCTAAAAGGGGAATAAAAACAATAAACATGACAAATAAGGAAATAATACAATGTGTTTTACAAGGTGATAACTCACATGGGAAAAAAGAAAAGATGAAAGGGGCTGCCACTGGGGCTGTTTAAGTAAGATTATCCAAGTAAGTCTTATTAAGTAGGAGGCATTGGAACAAAGCCAGAGGGAGAAAGTTAGCCATGCAGCTAGCAGATGGAAAAGGGTTCCCAGCAAAGGGATCAGCCATTGGACAAGCCATAGAGTGAAAGCACGTCTGGCATGTTCTGGTGAGGAGACCGCCGATTTAAAGCAGAAAAAAGAATGTAGGGTATATGTCTTCTGCACGAACATTTTTAAAATTATTTTTTTAAAATGAAATGCATTACATGGCCCCCTTATTCGGGTCCAGATATTTGAATTCAACAACTTTTATTTTCTGAAAACATACCTATTTATTTTCATTTCCATTAACCTGGAAAAATCTGTAGCTGCCTAGGTAAATATATACCATCTTAATCAATTCTGGTTTTTTTAAGTGTACAATTCAGTTTTTTTTTTTAGTGTCAACATTGTCAACGGACCTTCCTTTACTTGTTTAATCATTTACTTTAGTTCTCTGGCCATCTTTATAATGACTACTTTGAAATCTTTGTCTAATAAAGATTACATCTGGCCACTCTCACAGTTTCTGTTGCCTGTTTTGTTTTTTTTTTTCTGGTGTATAGGTCAAATTGTATAGCTGTATATACGCTTCTGTTTCTTTGCCTGTCTCACAAATTTGTTGTTGTTGCAATCTAGGCATTTTAAATAATATATTGCAGCAACTCTGGGCACTAGTTCTCGACCCTAGGGCTTGTTATTTTTTTTTAATTTTATTTATTTATTTGAGAGAGAGAGCAGGGGTAGCGGGAGAGGGAGAAGCAGGCTCCCCACTAAGCAGGAAGCCCAATATGGGACTGGATCCCAGGACCCTGGGATCATGACCTGAGCCAAAGGCAGAGGCTTAACCGCTTAAACGGCTAAGCCACCCAGGCATCCATAGGGCTGTTATTGTTACTTGATTTTTTTAAAAAAGGCTGGCTGAAATAATTTAGTGAAGTCTATTTCTCCCCCTCAGTGTTAAATTGCTCCTCAGGGGCAGGTGCACAGGTATACCTTTTAGGTATACCCACAGTCACCCCAAGATGTCTACTTTTCCCCAGAAAAATTCTCTGAGCCAGAGTTCTGGTGCTAGGATGGCAGGGGGGGGGTGGCACAGGGACAATGGAGTGCTTCTCTCTGAGTGACACCCCTACTTTAATAGCTGAGGGCTTGGAGCTGCCCCAGGTCTCTGTTTGGCTCTCATGATATAGAACCCCTACCCCATAAAAAAGGGCAGGGGTGATCAGGGCATCTAGTACTTTCACTGGCACTGCAACCAAGATCAGGCCCTCATCCCACAGGTGGGGGCTAGGCAAAGAAGAGAGTCCCCCTCGCTTGGCTGCACTCACTGCAACTTAGCCTCAGTTGCAAGTAGCTGGAAGCAGGATTGGAAATGCTCATTAGATGACCTGCTCTTCCAAGGGAGATAGCACTAGGTAGTTCTCTGAGCGGAATCTGATGGGGAAGGATCCCGCATCAACCCAGACTGGTCTTGCACACTGGGAAGGGGACAAATGGGTGTGGATCTTGGTTCAGATACCACAGACTCCTACAGTTTTGACGGAGCTTTTGTAGATTTCTTGAATAAATGTTTCTTCATTTGTCATAGGCCATTAGGACTGTTTCCAGAAATTTTAAATGTTGGGGTTTTTTTTTAGTAATTTTCACAAATTTGGCTGAGTTGATCCATGGAGTTCCTCACACTCTCATGACAAAAGCAGAACGCTTCAAAAATAATAACATTGTATATTTAATTCAAATGCTTGACTTATATGTGGAGTATAAGAAACAGCACAGAGGATCATAGGGGAAGGGAGGGAAAACTGAATGGGAAGTCATCAAAGAGGAGACAAATCATGAGAGACTCGTAACTATAGGAAACAAACTGAGGGTTGCTGGAGGGGAGGTGGGTGGGGGGAATGGGGTAATTGGTGATGGGCATTAAGGAGGGCATGTGATGTGATGAGCGCTGTTATACACAACTGATGAATTACTGAACTCTACATCTGAAACTGATGATGTATGATACGTTGGCTAATTGAATTTAAATTAAAAAAATGAAAAAAATATTTGATTAAGATTTTTTTGGAACATAAATGTCTTTCTATAGGTGATCCTGGTTCATAAGCCTCTCTGACCTCATAAATGGTCATAGGGTATGCAGAGACATTGTAAGTGTGTTTGCTGGTGTGTACCACAACCTATCTTTGTACTAAGGAAGAGTCTTTCTAGCCAACACATTCAGCAGTATAGCTCTACACTTCAAAAAGATAAAATTGAAATCCTTAGCACAGCGTACTAGATTCCTCATAATCCATCCTCTGCCCACTTCTCCAGACACATTTTATCCAACTCCCCTTCATGCCCTGTGTTCCAGCCACACCGAAAGCTTCATTTTCCTGAAAATGACCTGCTTTCCTATGCTTCTGAAATTTCGTATACACTGTTCTTTCTTCCAAAATACATTTTCTCAGTTTTGTCCACCACTGTGAACTGAATCTGGCTATATCAAGGGAATATAGGATCTACTGGAAAGAAGCCAGGGTCATAGCATGTAGGATGTGAAGGACGAAGCTTAGAAAATACATAGGATCTGAGAAAGTTCCAGAAGCAGAAACAGAAAGTCCAGAAGTGCAATAACTATGTTTTTTTAGCAAGGAGAATCTGGCCATATTGTTACCTTCACTAGACATCATACCTTCTGTCTAGCACCCAAGGGTCCCACTGTCCCCACTGCATGACATCCCAGCTGCCAGTTATAGGAATGAATTCCAGTCTTTTGTTCATCTTTAAGTTACTTGCTCAAGATTCACAACCCTTAGGAGGAGCATTTCACTGGCAATGCCCTGGATCTGCCTCCTACAGACTGAAGAAAGGGAGGTAGGTCCTTTCTCTTCTGGCTGTCGAGGTAAAGTCTGATAAACTTCTTTCATAAAGACTAAACTTGATTTGATGAGCACTGGGTGTTATACGCAAATAATGAATCATTGAACACTACATCAAAAACATATAGAATGTTGTTCTATATGTTGGCTAATTGAATTTAAATTTAAAAAAAAAAAAAGACTAAACCAGTGAGGAGAGCACCTGGAATGAAAGGGGACTGCCTGCTGGACAATCAAAAATTAGTATGCCCACTTAAGTTCTTTCTTTGGTTGACCAGCATCAAATCACCTCCTTCTTCCCATTATTAAAAAAAATGCTCTTTAAAACGTAACTATTCCTTATGCATATATATAAAACCCTGGAGCCCCTTTTCAAAGGGGAAGAGTTTCTCTGCACAGGTCATGCAAGGTCCACAGTGCCATTCTAAAGAGAGTGGATGCTATCTTGAGGGAAGTTGGGAACTATGGAAAGGTATTAAGTAGTAAGGTCACCTGACTGGGGTAGGAATGACACTGGCAAATCCTGGACCTGAGGCTTATTCATAGCATGATGTTTATGAAATTTTATTAAATGAAACTGTTTGTCATCTTGTCTCCCCCATTTGATTGTGAGATGCTTGAGTAGAAGCCTGAGTTTATCCCTAGCACAATGTTTAGCATGTTGCAGCACTGTTTAATTATTTGTTGAATAAATAAACACCTCATCTGAAAAAACTTCTTTATCTTGGGTTCCAGACAAATTTGAGGCAGAGTCCTGATATCAACGTCAATAAGATTCCAGAGAATCAGATAAAAAATTTCCAGTTTGAATGTTCTAGAGCAGACAACAGACTGATTGCTTCATCAAACCCTGCTTATACTGCCCATGACCAGTTTTCTTTGTTTGTCTTTTGCAGCTTATTTATAGCCTTGTTATGAACATCTTAAGTGTCTGCTTTTCTATAGTTGGTACAATAATATTAAGCATTGCATGTTTCACGTATCATGCAGACACCAACGAATACGTTTGGACACATGTAAGTACCAAGTTTAATAACAACTGGATCCAAATTTTAGATATAAATGAAAAAACTATGGTAAATGATGTATGTTGCAGTGGGCAAGGTATGGAAGAACAACGAAATTTGACCACCATCTTTGGCATAGAAATATAAAAGCAAGCTATATCTCCTCCAAATTTTTGCCCTGGGAATATTTAAAAATCACTTTTAGTCCAACTAAAGAAACACTAGAAACCTCAGAGAGAGATCAGAGCTATCATTATGTGAAGATAAAGTGATAAGATACCTAGAAAACTCCAAAGACTCAGCTAAAAACTACTGAAACAAAACAGTAGGAAAGTATCTGGGTAAAAGAAAAACATAGACAATTAATACATTTTTTTTTTTAGAGAGGGAGGGGGAGAGAGAATCTTAAGCAGACTCCAGGCCCAGTGCAGAGCCCGAAGTGGGGCTTAATCTCATGGCCCTGAGATCATGACCTGAGCCGAAGTCAAGAGTCATACCCTTAACCATCTGAGCCATCCAGGCTTCCAATACATTTTCTTTATACTAGAAATCACCACTTAGATATTGAAGTAGAAAAAAACAATAAATAACCCAATCAAAATAACAACAAAAGCTGTAAAAACATAATGAGGGCTGTAAAAAGGAACTGAATACCTTGAGAAACTACATTCTTGAATGCAAATTCACAATATCATAAAATTGCAAGATTCTGCAAATTAATACACAAATGTGATGCAATTCCGTTTAGAATCCCAACAAAGGTTTGGGAGGGAATGCAATAAAACTACTGTAAAATGTGTATGGATGGGAAAAAAAGATTGTGTGAAAAGTGCCAAGAAAGTCTGGAAGCCACATAATGGTTGGGGAGGGCCAGACAACTTGCTGCACCAGAAATGAAAATATATGAGTAGACTATTATAATAAAAATGGCAGAGTATTTATACACTAAAAGAAAAATTGATCAAAGAACAGAGAGTTGAGAAATAAATCCTATTATAGGCAAAAAAATATTATTTTATGGGAGATCAGTTTACCAGTCAACATGGAAAAGGTGAAATTTCATAAAGTAACATTAAATCAATGAGCTCTCCATTTCAAAGAAAATAGTAATGGGCTCTACTTGCCCAATGTGTAAAAAGAAATCACAGATTAAATGGATGAGCATAAAAAATAAATAGATAATAAGCACAAAAACGACCAGACAATGGTATAAAGTATAGAATTAGTACATCAGTTACAAAAGCAAAAAAAGAAAACCAAGAGGGGTGCCTGGATGGCTCAGTCTGTTAAGTGTTGGCCTTTGCTTGGCTGGGGTCACGATCCCAGGGTCCTGGGCTCCCTGCTCAGTGGGGAGTCTGCTTCTCCTTCTCCCTCTGCCCCTCCCCTCACTTGTGCTCTCTCTCTCTCTCTCAAATAAATAAATAAAATCTTTTGAAAAAATAAAATAATAAATAAAAAAGAAAACCAAAAATTAAATAGGAAAAAGAAACATATTTCAAGTCACAAATACTACATCTTTAATATGCTACAGGCTGAGATAAGAATTGCCTAAAGAGGGCGCCTGAGTGGCTCAGTTGGTTAAGCAACTGCCTTCGGCTCAGGTCATGATCCTGGAGTCCCGGGATCGAGTCCCGCATCGGACTCCCTGCTGAGCAGGGAGTCTGCTTCTCCCTCGGACCCTCCCCCTTCTCATGCTCTCTCTCTATCCCATTCTCTCTCTCAAATAAATAAATAAAATCTTAAAAAAAAAATTAAAAAAAAAAAAGAATTGCCTAAAGAGAGGGACCACAGCAAGGGTGAGGCCACCTCCTCAGCAGGCCCTGAGCATGGTGCCACACAGGATTATTCTCAAGCCTTGAAATCTAAACAATTGCCCTGTTGGGTTTTGGGCTTGCTTGGGGCCCATGACCCCTTTTTTCCCTTCTGGAATGGGAATATCTATCATATGCCTGTCCCACCAGTGATGTCTTAGAAGTAGATAGCTTGTTTCCTGGTTTCACAGGTCCCCAGATGGAGAAGAATTTTACCCTGAAATGAACAACACTATGAGTCTCATCCATAACTATTTAAGACAATTTAGATGATGAGATTTGGGGCTTTTTGATCTAATGACATTCAGGTCATTGGAGTTGATGTCAAAATGGGTCAAAACTTTTGGAGATATCAGGATCAGGTGACTATATTTTGTACATGGGAGGGACATGAACTTAGAGGCAGGGCAGAGACAGACTGTTATGGGTTGAATTGTGTCCCCAAAAAAGATATGTCCTAACCCCTAGTACCTCAGAAAGTGACAGTATTTGAGAACAAGGTCTTTGCAGATGTAATTAGCTCAGATGAGGTCATACAAGAGTAGGGTGGGCCATTGATCCAGTATAAGTAGTGTCCTTATAAGAAGAAAGAAATCTGGACACAGACATGGAAGGAAAATGGCCATATAAATATGGTGGCAGAGGTTGTAGTTATGCTGTTACAAGCCAAGAACACTTGGCTACCAGAAGCTGAAAGAGGCAAGGAAGAATCCTCCCCTAAAGACTTTGGAAGGAGAATTCTCTTGCCAATGGCAATGCATTCTTTTTGGACTTTTACCCTCCAGAACTGTGAGACAATAAATTTCAGTTGTGTTAAGCCATGCGGACGCAATACTTTATTACAGCAGCCCTGGGAAACTAGCATAGCAGGCCAGTAAATAGCCACCCCTTTTTCTCCTTTCATGTTCCGAGCCAGCTAAGATAAGATACAAGAATCAAGCAGGTGTAGATGAAACTATCAGCTTTATTGTGATTACTATAGTTGGAGAACAAGTTTTAAATCTTTGACCAAATGAGCTTGCTGATACCTCCTTCCATGAATTAAACTTATCTACCTAGTTACAAATAAATGATAGGTCTCCCTGTGCTGGGACCTGACAATTCTCAGAAATGGGGTCACAAAGAAAAACGATTCTGAAAAAAGAACCCAGAAAGGGTGAAATCACCAATTAGATAAATCTCTGCTTCTCAAATGGGGAATTTTAAGTAAGGGGCATTGAGACACACTAGAAGCTACTCTTAAAGTGGCTTTAAAAAACTCCTACTTCAGGCCATGGTAGAAATGTGGGAAGTGAGGGAGAATGGCTCCACTTAATACATGTAATAATGCCTACAACACAAGGGTCAAAAGAAAATAGAACATGCAAATTATATGTGCACTAAATGGGAAAGCATAAAACACAAATCATGCAATCAGTCTTACCAAAAGAGAAAGTACAAAGAGAGAAAAGATGCATTCAGTGCCAAACCCTGAAGAATTCCACCCAGCCCACAGTACTAATGTAAGGTACTAAGGTAAGCTCTCTGCTTTTCAGTCTTGTCACGTGTAGAAGAGAAATAAAAGTATCCAACTTGTAGGGTTGTCACTAGAAGTAGTACTTAACAAAATGCAAGGTACATATATAAGTACTTGATAAATTTAAATTGTATTTTGTTCTTATGAAAAATACACAAAAATAATCATGGTGGTGTGAGACTGATATGATGAATGGTATTTATTCCCTCTTGCTAAGATTGTTCTTGTATAATTTTTAAATGGCTAATTAATATGAGAAATGTTTCTTTTCTTTTTAATTCAGATGGCTGGTAGTATGCTTTTACAATATTTACTCTTCAGCACCATCACGGAAGTGATCTGTGCATGCATAACTATCAGATGGATTGTAGTAGCATTGAGTCATCCAGAATACAGTGAAAAGAGTGAGTCATTTTGTTTCTGGCTGGCTGATCAGGATAAAACAGCTTCTGTTAAGAGGCCGGTGATGGGTATTAAGGAGGGCACATACTGCATGGAGCAGTGCGTGTTTTATGAAAACAATGAGTCATGGATCACTACATCAAAAACTAATGATGTATTGTATGGTGACTAACATAACATAATAAAATTTAAAAAAGAACCCTCTCTGCAGGGAAACAATCAAAATCCTAGAGGAGAACACAGGCAGTAACCTCTTTGCCATCAGTGTAGCAACTTCTTACTACATATGTTTCCTGAGGCAAGGGAACAAAAGCAAAAAATAAACTATTGGGACTTCACCAAGATAAAAAGCTTCTGCACAGAGAGGGAAACAATCAATACAACTAAAAGGTAACCAATGGAATGGGAGAAGATGTTTGCAAGTGACATACCTGATAAAGGGTTAGTATCTAAAATATACAAAGAACTTACAAAACTCAACACCCAAAAAACAAATAATCCAGTTAAAAAATGGACTGAAGACATGAACAGACATTTTTCCAAAGAAGACATACAGATGGCCGACAGGTACATGAAAAGATGCTCAACATCACTCAGCATCAGGGAAATACAAATCAAAACCACAACAAGATACCACCTCACACCAGTCAGAATGGCTAAAATTAACAACACAGGAAACAACAGGTATTGGCAAGGCTGCAGAGAAGGGGGAACCCTCCTACACTGTTGGTGGGAATGCAAACTGGTGCAGCCACTCTGGAAAACAGTATGGAGGTTCCTCAAAAAGTGAAAAATAGAACTACCCTATGATCCAGCAATTGCACTACTAGGAATTTACCCAAAGGATAAAAAAGTACTGATTTGAAGGGATACATGCACCTCAATGTCTTTTAGACTTGCATCACCCAGGAGATTAAGAGAGGAAATACATAGACTGAAGTGGTTTCATGGGTCATACCAGCAATATGGGGACACCAAATGCTATAGACTCTGAAATTCAAATTTAGTTATAAATTTTTGTTTCGAAAGTTTGAGATCTTCATATCCCTTCAGAAAATAAAGATTTTAGGGGACACTGAAGAAAGTACTTCTGGAATAGAAAAATAAGGCTCTCTAAAAATCTATTCCTCCAGGGGCACCTGGGTGGCTCAGTTGTTAAGCATCTGCTTCGGCTCAGGTCATGATCCTGGGGTCCTGGGATCGGGCCCCGCATCAGGCTCCCTGCTCGGCGGGAAGCCTGCTTCTCCCTCTCCCACTCCCTCTGTTTGTGTTCCCTCTCTCACTGTGTCTCTCTCTGTCAAATAAATAAATAAAATCTTTTTTAAAAAAATCTATTCCTCCATAAAATATATGTGAGAACACTGGCAAAAGTTGTCAAAATTAACATTTCATAACTCTGGAAATTACTCAAATTTGGCAACAATCCAGGGAGCATTTACGCAAGAAAAAACATCTGACTCTTGGTAAGAACAGTGAGTTTTGTATAATTTGTTATAATTTGCCCTGTTCCCATCCACCTTGCTCTATCTCCACAGTAGCCTTTAAATGAAATAACCTTGCAACCACAGTACCTGTGAGAAACACCAACCTAACAACCACAAGAGGAGGAAACCTGAGATTGGAGTTCCCCAAAAAAGCCCCATTCCCAGAACATTGTGATTGATTTGGCTGGCAGCTCCCTGGCCAGCAGCTCACTGGCAAGGCCCTCCTTATTGACCTCGGAGCTCAGTAACTGTGAAAAGTTGTTCCTGGATGTTTGTCACAATAATCAGAGTGCACATACTGCATGGAGCACTGCGTGTTATACGCAAACAATGAATCATGGAACACTACATCAAGAACTAATGATGTAATGTATGGTGATTAACATAACAATAATAAATAAATAAAATAAATTCTTTAATTTCTCTAAAAAAAAAATAATAATAATCAGTGGCATATAACATGGCCTTTGCCTAAAGCAGTGGTAACAGTTGGGGAAAACAAGAGGCTTACCAAAAAACTTAATAGAAAAAACTGAAGAGTAAGATGTCCACTGGGGACCTTGAAACTATGGCAGTACCTGGAAATAAAGAAGACCATGTGCATTTGCAGAGACATATGCCTGCCAAGGAAGACCTGCCAGTACTCTAATCTCCCACCGCTGGCTGACCTGAAGCAGTCTGCAAGCAGTAAATGATAACTAAGGTAGAGTTGCAACCTGTCTTCCAAGGCCTTAAAGACTTACCCCAACACACACACACACAGACACACACACACAACACACACACACACACAACACACACACACAATACACACACAGCTTCTCAACAAAGACTGAGAAATTTCTTGGCTCAAAGCAGTTAAGGAAATCTATGTCTAATCATTTAATGACCACTAAGCTAACAGAGCAGGGACATCAATGCTCACACAGGACAAACATGAATACTCTACACAGTTAGTTCAGGAAAGCCACCAAATAGACTAATGAAAACAACAACAAAAACCAACCCCTGGGAGGATCTGATTTCCAACATTGCTACATTATATTATTTTAAGTATGCAGTTTTTAACAAAAGAAATAATGAGATATGCAAAGAAACAAAAAATGTGACCTAAACACTGGGGGAGAAAAGCAATAAAAGTTGCATCAAAGGAAGGCTAGATATTGAACTTACTAGAAAAAAAAAAACCTTTAAATTATCCATTATAAGTATGCTCAAAGAACTGAAGAAACCATGTCTAAAAAATCTAAAGGAAAATATGGGAGCAACGTTTCATGAGAAAGAATATCAATAAAGACATAGAAACAATTAAAAAGAATCAAGTAGGAATTCCAAAGCAGAAAAACACATAATAACTAAAATGAAAATATCACTCAAAGGGCTCAACAGAACATTTGGTCTGACAGAAGAAATGATCCACAAACTTAAAGATAGGTCAATTAAAATTATCTACTCTGTGGAACAAAATGATAACAAGTGAAGAAAAATAAATAGAGCTTCAGACACTTTTGAAACACCATCAGTCATACCAAAATGTGCATAATGGAAGTCACATAAGGGGAAGAGATAGAGAAAGAGAAAGAGAAAGCTACACAAAGAATTTTTGGAAAGTATATTGGATGAAAACCAAAAATTTGATGAAAAACATTATGCATCCAAAAAGGATAAACTAAAAAAGATCCAAACCTAGACACATCATTAACAAAATGCCAAAAGGCAAAGATCAAGAGAAAATCTTGAAATCAGCCAAAGACAAGGAATTCATCCTGAAAAGGGAATCTTCAATAAAATTCCTCATCAGAAACCATGGAGGCCAGAGACAGCAAGTGGGATGACATCTTCAGAGCACTGACAGAAAAATACCATCAACCAAGAATTATATATAATATTATAACAATATTAATAAAAAAATAATATTGTTAATAAATTTAAAAATAATAAAAAATAAATAAAAATGTAATTAAAGTGGTATAAAAGAAAAATAAATAAAATGGCATGAAAGGAAACATTCATGTAACATAAGAGAGAGCAGTAATGGACAAAGAATAACAAAGACATACAATATAGAAAACTGCAAAATATCAGACATAAACCCATCTTATTTGTAGCTACATTAAATATATATGGACTGGACACTAATGATAAGGCAGAGATTGGCAAAATGGATTTTTAAGATGTATTCCAATTAAATGCTATATACAAGAGACACACCTTAGATTCAAAGACACAAATAGGTTGAACATAAGTATGGAAAGATATATGCCATATAACAGAAACCAAAAGAGAGGTGGAGCAGCTATAGTAATGTCAGACGAAATAGAGATCAAGACAAAAGTTGTTACTAGACATGAAGGACATTTTTATAATGATTTTTTTAAGTTCGATCCACCAGGAACACATAGCAGTTGTAAGCACATATGCATTAACAATAGAGTCCTGAAATACATGAAGCAAAACCTGACAGATGTGACAGGAGAAATACAAAATTTTAAAAACAACAGTTGGCAACTTCAATACCCCATATTCAATAATTTACAGGAAAATTGTGCAGAAGGGAAAGGCTATAGGAGAAATTGAATGACACTATTAACTAACTAGACCTAATAGACATCTATACAAAATTCCACACAACGATGCAAAGTACATGTTCTTTTCAGGTGCAAATAGGTTATTCTGGTGCACAAAGATTATTCTCCAGGATAGACCGTATTTTAGGTTGTAAAACAAGTCTCAATAAATTAAAAGGATGGAAATCATACAAAATATGCTTTCTGATTATAATGGAATTAAATTAGAAATCAATAAAAGAAGGAAGTTTTAAAATATCACCAATACCAACTTGCATTCCCACAACCAGTGTAAGAGGGTTCTCCTTTCTCCACAACCTCGCCAACATTTGTTGTTTCTTGCCTTGTCAATTTTTGTCATTCTAACTGGTTTAAGGTGGTATCTCAATGTGGTTTTCATTTGAATTTCCCTGATGACTAATGATATTGAACATTTCTTCATGTGTCTGTTAGCCATTTGTATGTCTTCTTTGGAGAAGTGTCTGTTCATGTCTTCTGCTCATTTCTGACTTATTTGTTTTTGGGGTGTTGAGTTTGAGAAGTTCTTTATAGATCTTGGATACCAGCCCTTTATCTGTAATGTCATATGCAAATATCTTCTCCCATTCCGTGGGTTGCCTCTTTGTTTTGTTAACTGTTTCCTTTGCTGTGCAGAAGTTTTTATCTTGATGAAGTCCCAAAAGTTCATTTTCTCTTTTATTTCCCTTGCCTTTGGAGATGTGTCTTGAGAGGAGTTGCTGCAGCCAAGGTCGAAGAGGTTGCTGCCTATGTTCTCCTCAGGATTTTGATGAATTCCTGTCTTGCATTGAGGTCTTTCATCCATTTAGAGTTTATCTTTGTGTATGGTGTAAGAGAATGGTCAAGTTGCATTCTTCTGTATACAACTGTCCAATTTTCCCAGCACCATTTATTGAAGAGACTGTCTTTTATCCATTGCATATTTTTTCCTGC